TGAAGAAAAATGAAGACTGGAGCCACCGGTCCACCACGTAGTCTAAATCTGACAGTTCCATGGCCTTACCAATGGACTGGTTGTGTCGGACCACCTGATCAAACGAGGGAGGGAGAGGAGTAGTTCCAATTTGGATCAAGTGAGTCCCAGGCAGCGTGTGGTAGGTGTAGCTGTAGCGAAGACAATGGACAAAAGATAAGTGTACCCAAGTGAATGGGACAGCGATGAACATAGGCGATGCAAGGGGATGAACCTTCTCCAGCTCAAAAATTACCCACCCATGCTCCAACCAGGCAAGACGAGCGACCGATGTTTTGATAGTATATGATGGTAGATCGACGTCATGAAGATGGACCTGTTGCCCTATTTGAACCGGCCGCCGGGGCTTTGCTGATATCAGCAGTGGCACGAGGTAGTCAACGGATCAGCGACGGAAGCGGATAGGAAGTGGTGACATCAGAAATGGTGGGGGTGCAAATAAAATGAGGAGGAGGAGGGTGGAGGTGACGGAAAAGTGGATTAGAATGGGGATCCAGAAATGACCGTCAGGTGAGAATAAAAAGGAGAGGAAGGGGCCCATGGTGGGGCTAGGCAAAGGAAGGGGAGTAAGGGAAACGACAAAAGCAAGGGCGCAATGCAATGTGTAGCCAGTGGCGACACAAAAATTTGCCGAAATGCCGAAACGCGGAAAGTACCGAATGGAAAAGCAAAGGTGAGCGTGACTGGATTGCCTAATAGAGGTGGTGCTGATCAGCCACAAGTTCAAAAAGGGCAATATTAATTACTATTCCACGTGGCACTGTGCCTGTGTGGCGCAAAGGCGAGTCTTTTTGAATATTTGCTTCGTTATTGACACCTGTCCATGCTACCAATCAACTTTGGTGCATGACACCGTCCAGTCATTTGTCTGACATGGCTGACCCCGGAGTGGAAATGGCGATATCCAATATGTTTGTGGAGCACCTTGAAACATTGATGAAGCTCTTTTCTGCCCACAAGCTCTTTACACCAAGTGAGGACATGGTCAAAAAAGAATTTATGACACGTATGAAGAATTTCTGGCACGAGAAACGAAGCAGGGTCTGACATTGCCCAATCTCTCCGGAATGGGAGGTGGACACCACTCAGTCCCAACTTCTTTGCCTCTGCCTGATATTTGACAATCTTGTTCCACGGGTGGACTCTATTTGTGAGTTTGCAGATATTTTGATAGGTGACATCGCCATGACATGAAGGGTGTGCAAATGGATCACCGAACTGTTTAAGTGAAGCTGTCGAAATGGGGAGAGGAATTTTTTGAAACGCAAGCAATCACTGTTGCTTGGGGAGGTCTGCAATCCACGCAACGAGTGGGATGTAAGCTAGCCGTCCCTTCCCAAATGAGTTCGTGAATTTATGGGCCGTAGCGAGCGCATACTTCAGCTTGCACAATTTTATCAATGCACCTTGTATAAACTCGA